CTGTGCACCAAAGTGAATCACTTATACATATACATATGTATTCACTCTTTTTTAGATTCTTTTCCCATATAAGTCCTATAATAAGTTCTAAGACCCTTTCACTGAGACACTCCATGGTTCCCTGGTGTGCATTTTCCCTTACTGGACAACCTATACATTCTTTTTTTAATATTCCTTTCCATTATGGTTTATCCCAGGAGATTGGATATAGTTCCCTGTGCTATACAGTAGGACCTTGTTGTTTATCCATCCTAAATGTAATAGTTTGCCTCTACCAATCCCAAACTCCCAGTCCATCCCTCTCCCTATCCCCTCCCCCTTGGCAACCACAAGTCTGATTTCTATGTCTGTGAGTCTGTTTCTGTTTCATAGGCAGGTTCATTTGTGCCATATTTTAGATTCCACATATAAGTGACATCATATGGTATTTGTCTTTCTCTTTCTGACTTACTTCACTTGTATTGCAATATGATAATCTCTAGTTACATCCATGTTGCTGCAAATGGCATTATTTCATTCTTTTTTATGGCCGAGTAGTGTCTCTTTAGTCTTTTAATCTAGAACAGTCCCCCTCATGCCCAGACACCCACTTCTTTTTTAGGGCTGTATTCTGACCCCCTTGGAGGAGAGAGAGAAGAAAAGAAGGAAGGAAGAAAAGGTGGGAGGGAGGAAGGAAGGAAAAGTCTCAGATGCAGTGCAGTTCTCAGAAAGTTCCAGGAAAGCCAGTAGGAGTCCTTGAGAGGGCCACATCTCCTGGCAACAGCTTGCCTCACTGTCCTTTGGGCACTGGCTGGGAGCAGCCCTTGGAAGCATGGCCTCTGTGCTAAGGATGGGGATGGATTTCTGAGCACAGCCGTCCCCTCTGTAACTTAGGCTCCTGGCAGTGCAGAGACACATCCCCGTGGCCACTACCAGGGCACTGCCTTTTTTTTTTTTTTTTAAACCTTGGCAATTTTTAAAAATAACTTTATTGAAATATAACACATGCACCATTCAACCTTAAAGTGTACCGTTCAGTGGTTTTTGGTATATTCACACTTGTGAAACCATGATCACAATCTAATTTTAGAACATTTTCATCACAGCAAAAAGACACCCATACCGGGACTTCCCTGGTGGTCCAGTGGTAAAGAATCCGCCTTCCAATGCAGGGGACGCGGGTTCGATCCCTGGTCAGGGAACTAAGATCCCACATGCCATGGGGCAACTAAGCCTGTGTCCCACAACTACCTCATGCCTCATGAGCTCTCATGCCTCAACTAGAGCCCACGTGCCGCCAACAACAGAGCCCATGTGCCCTGGAGCCTGCGCGCCACAACTAGAGAAGAGAAAACCCGCACGCCGCATCTAAGACCCGACGCAGCCAAAAATAAATAAATAAATAAATCTTAAAAAAATAAAAGACACCCGTACCCATTAGCAGTCGTTCCCCACCCTCACCTCCCATGCCACTCCCAGCCCAAGGCAAACACTAATCTACTGTCTCTCTAGATTTGCCTGTTGCATATCAATGGAATCGTACAATTTGTGGCCTTTGGTAATGGGCTCCTTTTACTTAGCATAATGTTTCAAGGTTCATCCATGTTGTAGCGTGATTCAGTGCTTCATTCCCTCTTATTGTCAAATGATATTGTTAAATCATATGGATTTAGCACATTTTGTTCATCAGTTGGTGGACATTTAGGTTTGTTTCCACTTTTTTGACTCTTAGGAGTAATGCTGCTTATGAATATTCATGTACAGGATTTTATGTGGACATATTTTTTTTCATTTCTCTTGGGTGTATACCTAGGAACAGAATTGCTGGATCATATAGTAACTCTATGTTTAACATTTTGAGGAACTTCTAGATGGTTTTCCACAGCAGCTGCACCATTTTACATTCCCAGAAGCAATATACAAGGGTTCCAATTTCTCACCATCCTCGAAACACTTGTAATTATCTGTCTTATTTGTTATAGCCATTTCTAGTGGATATGAAGTGGTATCTTAATGTGGCATTTACCTAATGACTAATGATGTTGAACATCTTTTCATGTGCTTACTAGCCATTTATATCTCTTTGGAGAGATTCAGATTTATGATTTGCAAATATTTTCTCCCATACTGTGGGTTTTCTTTTCACTTTCTTAACGGTATCCTTTGAGACACAAAAGTGTCTAATTTTTTTTTTTTTTTTGCGGTACGCGGGCCTCTCACTGTTGTGGCCTCTCCCGTTGCGGAGCACAGGCTCCAGACGCGCAGGCTCAGCGGCCGTGGCTCATGGGCCCAGCCGCTCCGCGACATGTGGGATCTTCCCGGACCAGGGCACGAACCCGTGTCCCCTGCATCAGCAGGCGGACGCTCAACCACTGTGCCACCTGGGAAGCCCCAAGGCATTCACTTGTTAATTTATGTCTGTTGAGTCTCTTTTAATCTATAACGCTCCAGGCTTTTTTTTTTTGGCTGCATTATGTCTGTGTTGCTGCGCAGGGGCTTTCTCTAGTTGTGGTGATCAGGGGCTACTCTTTGTTGCAGTGCATGGGTTTCTCCTTGCAGTGGCTTCTCTTGTTGCAGAGCACGGGCTCTAGGTGCACGGGCTTCAGTAGTTGTGGCATTTGGGCTCAATAGTTGTGGCTCGCGGGCTCTAGAGTGCAGGCTTAGTAGTTGCGCTGCATGGGCTTAATTGCTCCACAGCATATGGGATCTTCCCAGACCAAGGATCAAACCCGTGTCCCCTGCATTGGCAGGTGGATTCTTAACCACTGTGCCACCGGGGAAGTCCCAGACTTTTTTTCCCTCTTGCATTTTATTTGTTGAAGAAACAGGGTCATTTGTTCTATAGAGTTTCCATCAGTCTGAATTTGTTAATTGCATCTCCATGGTGTAATTTAACATGTTCTTCTGTCCCTTGTATTTTAGTAATCCAGAGGCATGATCTGCTTTAGATTTGGTTTTAGCACAGCAATAATTTGCAGGTGATATGTGTGTTTCCAGAGTCAGAACGTGTAAGGTTGACTCTGTCTGCAATGTTAGGGGCCATCCATAATCTTCAACTGGATTTTTTTTTTTTTGGCTGCCACGTGGTATGCAGGATCTTAGTTCCCCGACCAGGGATCAAACTCTTACACTCTGTATTGGGAGCACAGAGTCTCAACCACTGGACCACCAGGGAAGTCCCTGGATCTTTTTTATTTGGCTGTGTTAGGTCTTCATTGCTGCACGCGGGCTTTCTCTAGTTGCGGCGAGCAGAGGCTACTCTTCATGGCAGCGTGCGGGCTTCTCATTGCAGTGGCTTCTCTTGTTGAGGAGCACGGGCTCTAGGCACATGAACTTCAGTAGTTGTGGCACAGGGACTCAGTAGTTGTGGCTCGTAGGCTCAGTAGTTGTGGTGCACGGGCTTAGCTGTTCTGCGGCACATGGGATCTTCCCGGACCAGGGCTCAAACCCGTGTCCCCTGCATTGGCAGGTGGATTCTTAACCAGTGTGCCACCAGGGAAGTCCCTGGATCATTTTTTAATTAGAGGTGATTTACACTTTGAAAGGGTCACTCTGGTTGCTGCGGGGGAAGGGGTCCCAGGGTTTCAAGGACTGAAGGATAGCCATGCAGCAAAGCACTTGCTGCCGTGCCTGGCACACAGGGACGACTCAATAAATATTAGCACTTACTGTTGTTGTTGTTATTAGAGCTGTGTGGGGGACCCAAGTCCTGAGCTCGGAGCCATTTTCTGGCCAGGGCATTCTCCTCTCTTCTCCTCTGCCCTTGGAGGAGACATCGTCAGTGCCCCATGGCTCTGGGAGGCATGTTCAGGAATGCGGCGGCCATCTATTTGCACCTGGTGGGGCCCTTCCGGGGAAAGAAGTCTGGAGCTTCGCTCGCCCGGTGTTTGCATCAGACTGTAAGTGCTCTAGCCCCTCGTGCTCTGCTGCTTGCGTGCCCCAGGGGTCCTGGGATCTGGCTTGGTTCCGGCTTCAAAGCTGTGCACGAGCCTCCTCTTTCAGGAGGCCTTCTCTGACCGCAGCCTGGATGTGGGCCTCTCCCTTGCCCTTGCCTCTAATCTAGAACTTGTAGCTATGCATCTGAATGGTCTCCTTGGAGCTGCTGCCTCCCCATCACCCCCTGTGCCCAGCCCAGTGTTTGGTACACAGTAGGTGCTTCATAAATGTTGGCTGAGTAACTACATTACGCATAAGCTCAAGAACAGGCACTGGTTCCCCCCTTATCCAAGGAGTGCGTGGCATACTCGAAGGCCACTCCACCGAGCACCCCAAGCTTCTAGAGTCCCCCCTCTTTTATCTTCTTCCTGAACTCACTCAACTCCATCCACCCCCTTTGCTCTCTCTCTGTGCCCCTGCACCCCTCTACTCCTTCGCCCACCCCAGCCCTCCACAAACCCCCTCACTCCAACCTCTACCCACCCACCCCCACTGCCCCGACTCATCTTCACTTTATTTTTTTAAGTATGATGCGTACCCGATTCAAACGTAATTCCTTATATCATTGAACCTATAATGCCATCACTATTAAGATGCACTGTTATTTTATGGACTAGTAAGTGGGGAAATTGCCAGTTAAACTCGTGCTATAGATTCTAAGACACATCTGAAAGTGCAATGTGCAAAAAATACACATATCAGAATCAGTCAAACATGGTATGCTCTCCATACAAGAAACTTAGAAACATAGAAAAGTACACTTATAATTAAATCACCTATAATTCCACCACTCAGAGAGAACCTTTCTTAACATTTTGTATGTTTCCTTCTAAATTTTTTTCTATTCACATATGGTCATAAAAAAATATATATACATACAAATATATATTAGGGTATATTTTTAAAAATATAATCATCCTGTACATGCTATTTTGTAGCCTGTTTTATTGATGTTGGTATATCATATTTACAAACATTCCTCTAAAATGTAATTTTCTCCCACATTTTTTAATCATAAAAATAAAACCTTTATTTTAGAAAATTTGGAAAATAAGAAAATTATAAGGAAGAGAAGAAAAATATCTGTCAACTAACCAACTAAAGATAATCACTGCTGACTAACATTTGGGTGATAACATGATTTTCCCTGGCAGGGATCACGCTCTCATTTTTAACTATTTTGACATGTTCTGAGTGCCAGGCCTGGTGAGAGGTGTCAGGGACAGGGCTGCCAATGTTAGCAAAGCACCTACTAGGTGTCAGCCCCATGCTGGGCTCTCTGCAAATCATTCCCATCAGCAAGACTCCCAAGTGATGGAAAAGCCTGGCCCGTATACAGACGGTCCCCATGCCCTTCTCCAGGGCAGGGGCCAGACACTAGGAGCCCTGCTGTTGCCACCACCCTGACCAGGGTCCTGTCCAGCTCCTCCTCCAACCTTGGGGAAGTCCCTGAACCTCTTTGAGCTTCAGTGTCCTCATCTTTACATGGGGATTATCCTGGTCCCTCTGATAGACGTGCTGTGGGGACTAAGCCCATGAGGAACAGTGGGGGCTCACTGTTAGATACAGCTGTGGCCCCACCACCTGCCGGCCATCTGAGACTCCAAGCCACAGGACCAGGAGGCTGGGAGGGACCACAGAGCCTATGCCCCTATTATACTGATGGAGAGACTGAGGCCAGGGGAGCTAAAGCACCTGTGCAATGTCACCCAGCCAAGGCGGGCTTAGGACCTGAGTTTGGTGGTTCTCAGGCCTGGCCAGTGTCTGCACACCTGCGGGTGAGGGGGAAGCTGGCCTGGAAGGAACATAGGGAAGGGGAGGGGAGGTCCCCTGAGCCCCCTAGGACCGAGCAAGTGTCCTCTTTGCCTGAGTCAGAACGTGGCCTCGTCTCAAACAGCCCTGAGTCTGAGTGTATCTGTTGTATGACCTTGAACACATCCCTCTCCCCGCTCCCCCTCCTCCATCTTCTCATCTGTAAAACGGGACCAGCCAGGTGGTCCTGAGAAGTCAAAGGAAGAGCTTAGCGAGAAGCTGCTGCAGTCACTGTCGCCACGATCCTTCCCGTGCTCTGCTCTCCCCCTTCCTCCTGCCCCTCCTCCTCGGCCCCAGCCCCTCCTGGGTCAAACTTTAGCCTGATGGAATCCAGGCTGTGTGCCAGGATACGTGGACCCTGGGCTGGCAGGTGGGCGAGTCCAGGCTGCTGGAGTGGGAGGAGCTGAGCGGGGCGGCGGGAGACCCCGCCCCCCTGTCTTGTCTGGGAGCCCTGCTCTCCGCCTCCCGCCTGGAGGAGTGGGCACCAAGGCTATGGCCCCAGAGAAGCTGCCTCCCGGGCAGGCCCAGGCTTCTGGGCCTCCACCACTGACCCTCTGTTTGTTCTGTCTTCAGCTCGTCATGACCAAACAGCTGCAGGCTCGAAGGCTGGATGGGATCGACCACAACCCATGGTGAGCTGGGCGGGGCTGGGGAGGGGTGTGGGGGCCCCCTGGGCTCAAGGGCAGGGCAGGGCTGGCGGTCCCTGGATTGGCAGTAACTCAGTGGTACCCAGGACGGCCGCGCACTCGGACGGGGGAAGATTTGTAGCCACAGCTCCTGAGAGGTGAGACCCCCAGCAGCCAGCTTAGGTTCGGATCTCAGCCCCGCCCTGCTTGGCTGTGGCATTTGGGGCCGGTGACTCGCCTGCTCTGAGCCTCAGTTTCCCATCTGGGAAATGGAGGTAATTCCCTTTCCCTTGAAGGGCCTGGGGGGATGAGGTGACATACTATGTGAGCGATGGCCATTACCCAGGCATTACCCAGGCACCAGGCTGAGGGCTTTCCAGGGATTCTTTCATTTCACACTTAGTACAGAACAAGCTAAGCTAAGGAATATAAGAAGGTAAGACACGGGCAGCTCCTCACCAACACTTGCAGAGGTTGACATCTTTTCTTTATTGACCTATTCTAAATATGAGAGGCATATGTGCCCCTTGTCACCCGTGATTCGATGGATGCAATGGAAGATGTGTGAGAAAGATTTAAAGACCTTCCCGCTTCCCCCCAACCACTGCTCCTGGCCCGCTCTACCTTTGGCCAAGGGCATTGAGCCACCTCTATATGTTAAAAAAAAAAAATCATTGGCTGTTGTTTTTACCAAAAAGAGAACCATTTTTTCTTTCAAACTCCCCTGCTGTACAACGCTTTGTGTTTTGCAAAAATCTTCCACCTCCATCTTCTCCTCTGATGCTCCATGGTGTTTGGGATGGGGGAGCTGGGCCCAAAGGCCCTGTAGGGTCCGGTTGCCCTCTAGGTTGGGCCTCCAGGGCCCTGTTCCCCAGGCTGCCACACTCTGTCCTCTCTGTGAGGCAGGTGGGCAGGCTTATGGCCCATTTTTCAGATAAGGTAAAGTCCAACTCCGAAGGAGGAAATGACTGGCTGGGAGAGACAGGAAGAATCTTTCCTGACTCACAGACCCAGCAGACTCTTGAACCCGTCACACCCATTGTACAGAAGGAAGGACTGAGGCCAGGAGAGGCTAAGTCTCATGCGAAGGCAGGGCAGAGCAGGAGCTGGCCTGGGAGGAATGCACGGGACAGCAGAGGAGTGTCAGGAGGGATGAGGGCCATGAAAGGTCCCAGGTTCCTGCTGACTCCAGGGTGGTGGTCTGAGGATCAGGACCCTAGAGGCCCAACCCACAGGGCAGCTGGTCTCCGTAGGGTATTTGAGCCTGGCTTCCCTGTCCCAGCCACCATGGAACATCCACCACCTGATTTTGCATCTCAGCTCTGCCTTAGTGGCTTTGTGACTCTGGGCAGGTCACTGGCCTCTCTGAGCTTCAGCAACTCTGTCTTCAGAGACACTGTGGCGCTCTGGAGAGAAAATGACCAATTTTAGACATAATGATATTTATTGTTATGCAAATTCAACTCCACCCAGCCTGACCCCTCTGCCCCCAACCAACCTGGAACTGCATACCAGCCTCTTCAGCCTCTCAGCCTCTCTTCCAGTTTCCCTGAACAGGTAGCCACTAGGCAGGGCCAGAAGAAAGATGGTCAGGGGCCAGAGACGGCAGATGGCAGGCCCCAGTCTGTCCAGGGTAATCGTCAAGCGCAGAACTGGTGCTTCAGACACCAAAGGCTGGCAGTGCTAACTGGGAGACGTTGGGCAAGTCGCCCGAACCCCAGCTTCTCCGTACCCCCTGTGATCAAGGAGCAGAACATGCCTCATAGACTATCAGAGATGATGCGAGCAAGCATTTCAAAGTGTGGTGCTGAGAGACACATGAACGGGTCATGAAATCCATTTCGGGGCGCTCAACAAGTATTTCTAAAGACTAGAGTAGAATAGGATGGGAAATACTGCAGTGGATCACACCGGAAGGAGAAAGTTGAGTCCATGTTTGTGCTCTACAGAGCTTGGGATGTAAAAGTGATTTCTTACTATGGATCGTGGTGGAAAGTTGGAAAGCCCCTGGGCTAAGACATGTGATCAGCATGGAACCAGTTATGACCACGAACAGATCTCCGGACCAGGGTGGATGCTGATCATGCAGTTTTTCTAGAAGGAGCCCAACGCCTTGCTCACCCTGCCCTGAAAGCAAGCGGAAGTCCAGGTCGGGGTGGAGGGTTGGGCTGGTACCCACTCTCTGTTTGTTGCCCAGGGTGGAGTTTGTCAAACTGGCCAGTGAGGCTGATGTCGTGAACTTGGGCCAAGGCTTCCCAGACTTCCCACCCCCAGACTTCGCCGTGGAAGCCTTTCAGCACGCCGTCAGTGGGGACTTCATGCTCAACCAGTACACGAAGGCATTTGTGAGTCTACCAGCCCCTCTGGGGGGTCCCTGGACATGGGCCTCTGAGGAGGTCCCGGGGGAGGACGGAGCAGATCTTTTTGGGCAGCAGGCCCATCTGAGTGTCAGGGTTCATGGGGCAGAGCCCCGGGAATTCAGCCTGGCCATGGTTCAGTGTTCACTGGTTGTCTCCTTTGTTCCAGTCCCTGGAACAGTTCATGGTCTGGGGGAAAGACAGATAAAAAAGCATGAGCCAGGAGCTCATGGTCTAGTGGGAAAAGCAGACCAAAACCCAAAACAATAGCAGAAGACAAAGGTAGCTGATATGCTGTGATGGAGGAGAATGGGGTACTTGGGAGCAAGAAGGAGGGAATGAGACCTGGGAGATCAGGGAGGGCTTTCTGAAGGAGGTGACACCTAAGCTTAACCCTGAAAGACAAGCTGCTGATTGTTTTGACTCTAAATCCGAAGTCTTTCTGTGAAGAACCACAGAGTAAATATTTGCCCCCTTGGAGTAGTTTCTTAAACTTTGGTGTGCATCTCATCGCCCTGGGGGAAAGTTCCCTCCAGTGCCACCACCCAGAGATAACCACTGCTAACAGTTTGCTACTTTGCTGAGTGTTTAGACTTTTGAACTTTGAACTTTTATAAATTTATTTATTTTATTTATTTTATTTGTGGCTGTGTTGGGTCTTCATTGCTGCACCTGGGCCCTCTCTAGTTGCTGCAACAGGGGCCACTCCTCGTTGCCATGCGCGGGCTTCTCACTGTGGCGGCCTCTCTTGTTGTGGAGCACGGGCTCTAGGCACGTGGGCTTGAGTAGTAGTGGCACGCAAGCTCAGTAGTTGTGGATCACGGGCTCTAGAGCACAGGCTCAGTAGTTGTGGTGCACGAGCCCAGGTGCTCCACGGCATGTGGGATCCTCCCGGACCAGGGCCCAAACCCGTGTTCCCTGCATTGGCAGGCGGACTCTCGACCACTGCACCACCAGGGAAGTCCCCTGAACTTTTAACTTTTAAAAATGCTTGTATAAACACACACACATTCACATGCCCGCACGTGAGATTTGTATTTCTTAACACAAATGGACTCATACTCTAGTAATGTTCTATAACTTATTTCACTAAATAGTATGACATAGGCATCTTTCCATGTCAAAACAGCCTCATTCTTTTTTTTTTAATTTATTTTTTATTGAAGTATAGTTGAATTACAATGTTGTGTTAATTACTGCTGTACAACAAAGTGACTCAGACGTACATTCTTTTTCATATTCTTTTCCATTATGGTTTATCATAGGATATTGAATATAGTTCCCTGTGCTATATAGTAGGACCTTGTTGTTTATCCATTCTATACATACCAGTTTGCATCTGCTAATCCCAAACTCCCCATCCAACCCTCTCCCATCCCCCTCCCCCTTGGCAACCACCAGTCTGTTCTCTATGTCCCTGATTCTGTTTCATAGATAGGTTCATTTGTGTCATATTTTATATTCCACATATAAGTGATATCATATGGTATTTGTCTTTCTCTTTGTGACTTACTTCACTTAGTATGATAACCTCTAGTTGCATCCATGTTGCTGCAAATGGCATTATTTCATTCTTTTTCATAGCGGAGTAGTATTCCATTGTGTATATGTACTCCATTAGCCTCATTCTTTTTGATGGCTGCATAGTATCCGATTGCCTAGATGTGCCATAATCTATTTACCCAGCCCTACACTGATGATCTGGTTTGGTTATCTCACTATTAAGCAATGCCACAGTGAATATCTCTTTGTGTATCCCTTTGTACACATATGTAAATATTTCTCTCAGATATATCCCAAGAAGTAAAACTAGAGAATCAAAGGGTGTAAGCATTTCAGCCTGTGCTGGATATTGTCAAATTGCCCTCTAGTAAGGTTTACTCACATACCCACCAACAGGCTGGTCTCAGAGCTGGCAGGAATATTCATTCTTTTCATGTACATATTGGGCCTCAGGACTTTCTTTCATGCCTGACCTCGTTTTTTTCATTTGGGTGTATATCTTTGTCTTATTGCTTTGAAAGAGCTCTTTATATATTAAATATCTTATTTCTTTCTCTTATGTTGCAGTGTTCCTCTCTTTGTCTTTTAACTTTGCTCATGGGATATTTTGGTGTACAGAAATTTTTCATTTTTATGTAGTCAATTCTGGTTTAGTGAATTATTTAGTTAAGTTCTAGACCTTAGGTTTCAGTCCCTTGGCTTAGCCTGGAGTGTTTTTTTTTGTTTGTCTGTTTGTTTGGGTTTTTTTTTTGCGGTATGTGGGCCTCTCACTGTTGTGGCCTCTCCCGTTGCGGAGCACAGGCTCCGGACACACAGGCTCAACAGCCATGGCTCACGGGCCCAGCCACTCCGCGGCATGTGGGATCTTCCCGGACTGGGGCACGAACCCGTGTCCCCTGCATCGGCAGGTGGACCCTCAACCACTGCGCCACCAAGGAAGCCCAGCCTGGAGTGTTTTATAAGTGTCCTCAACAAACAAGCATACAGATCCAGTCTTCCTCTCAAAGTGGGGTGCTTCCAAAGCTGCAACATAAAGTCCTATTCCTGCACTTCAACTGGCATGACCTTGGGAAAGTCATTTTCTTTCTCTGGCTCACTGTTTTTCTACGAGTCAAATGGTGGGCATCAAATAATACCTCTTTTGCAAGGCTGCCAAGAGGATTAGATGGCACAAAAGTGCTACTTAAACTTAGAGGGAGGTGTTTAAAGTGTGGAGTTGCTACTATTTTGAGGGCTCCGTTGCACTGTGCTCCACGAAGGCATACACTCTGTCTGGTTTCCCACTGATCCCAGCCCTGGATGCTGGGCCTGGCACAGAGCAGGCTTTATGGCATGTGCTGGCGATGGAGATGAAAGAACTCACCCCACAGGAACTGACTCTGCCCCAAGGCTTGCTGCTGGAAGATGCTAGAATTGCCTGGATGCATCTGAGTGGGAGGCTGGGCCCAGGCTGAACCAGGCCGCTGACCCCTGCTGTCCCGGCAGGGTTATCCACCCCTGACGAAGATCCTGGCCAGTTTCTTCGGGAAGTTGCTGGGACAGGACATAGACCCACTCAAGAACGTGCTGGTGACTGTGGGTGCCTATGGGGCCCTGTTCACAGCCTTCCAGGCCCTGGTGGACGAAGGAGACGAGGTGAGTGGGCAAGGCCAGGGCTGGGTGGGGGTGAAGGGTCAGGGTGGTGCCGACCCCAGCCAATCTGATCCTTGTACCAGGTCATCATCATCGAGCCCTTTTTTGACTGTTATGAGCCCATGACATTGATGGCAGGGGGTCGCCCTGTGTTTGTGTCCCTGAAGCCGGTAAGGATGCTGGTCGGGGTGTGGGTGGGCAGAGGGGTCCAAGGAGTGTGCTGGGTTGAACCCTGGGAGGTGGGAAAGAAGGAAGGAAGTGAAGGAGGGCAGTTTCTCCAGGGTGAGGAGAGGGGTGTCCAGAGCCCGAGAGGAGAGACAGTGGGGAGAGATACCTGGGGGGAGGAAGGCTGACTTTCTTGAGATGAAAGTCATGTGGGTAAGTATTGCCACCCCCTCCCACCTCCTTGCAGAGCCCCAACCAGGATGGGGAACTGGATTCCAGCAGCAGCTGGCAGCTGGACCCCACGGAGCTGGCCAGCAAGTTCACGTCTCGCACTAAAGCCCTTATCCTCAACACACCCAACAACCCCCTGGGAAAGGTACCTGAGAGACCTCCTCTGGGGACCCCTCCAGATTGGCTCACGTCCCTGCTCTGTTACTCTTGTGCTGCCATGGGGCCTCAGTTTCTTTGCCTGTGAAGTGGGAGGACTACCTGCGATGAGCTCTGAGGACCGAAGCTCCCAGAGGTCCCAGGGCCTGGGGCAGGGATCCCCAGGGAAGGTATCAGGCCTTGGGTGGTGGAGCGGGCTGGACATCTCCATGACTTGCCCATGAACCTGGGCCAGTGACTTCACCTCTCCAGTTTCTCATCTGGAAAATGGGAACATGACAGAACTGATGTGAAGGAAGACCCAGGCTTCCACCTGTGTCTCTCCTTTACTGTCACACCATTATCACACTCAAAACGCTTCTGACACCAGATATGTGGTTTTTTTTCCCACACTAAGCAATTCTGTGAGACCAGCTGGGTGTCCCACAAGTCAACTCAATTTAATTCAATTCTGACACTGTCTACCTGGAGATGGCGTCAGATCCCACAGGTTAAGGGCTCAGTCTCACAAGGCTGCCCCCCACCCCACTCCAGACACCAATCACAAGTCGAGGTTGTCACCTGTGCTGCTGACCTATGGTTGTAAATCTGAGGTGCCCACAATCCCCTCCTCGGTTCAGTTAATTTGCTAGAGAGGCTCACAGGACTCAGGGAAGCACCTACTTAGTTACCTGTTTATCAGAGGGTACAATAGATGAACAGCCTGATGAAGAGACATGTAGGGCGAGGTCTGGGAGGTTCCCGAGCACAGGTGCTCCTGTCCCTGTGGAGCTGGGGTGTGTCAAGCTCCTGGTACCTGGATGTGCTCACCCACCTGCAAGCTCTCTGAACCCTGTCCTATTGGGATTTTTATGGAGGCTTCAATTATCAACTCCATTTCCAGCCCCTCTGCCCTCTCTGGAGAAAATTCCAAACTTCCAATATGGCTTCGTCTTTCTGATGATCAGCCCCAATCCAAGAGCCCACTTAGAGTTGCCTCATTAGAACAAAAATGCTTCTAGTGCTCTTTTTTTTAAAATTTATTTATTTTTGGCTGCAGTGGGTCTTTGTTGTTGCGTGCAGGCTTTCTCTAGTTGCAGCGAGTGGGGGCTACTCTTGGTTGCGGTGCATGGGCTTCTCATTGTGGTGGCTTCTCTTGTTGCGGAGCACAGGCTCTAGGTGTGCGAGCTTCAGTAGCTGCAGCACTCGGGCTCCGTAGTTGTGGCATGCAGGCCCTAGAGCATGTGTGCTTCGGTAGTTGTGGCATGCGGGCTCAGTAGTTGTGGCTCACGGGCTCTAGAGCTTAGGTTCAGTAGTTGTGGCGCACGGGCTTAGTTGCTCCGTGGCATGTGGGATCTTCCCGGACCAGGGCTCGAACCCGTGTCCCCCACACTGGCAGGCGGATTCTTTTTTTTTTGGTTATAAATTTATTTATTTATTTATTTATTTATTTATGGCTGTGTTGGGTCTTCGTTGCTGTGCACGGGCTTTCTCTAGTTGCGGCGAGCAGTGGCTACTCTTTGTTGCCGTGCGCGGGCTTCTCATTACGGTGGCTTCTCTTGTTGTGGTTGTGGAGCACAGGTCCTAGGCGCATGGGCTTCAGTAGTTGTGGCATGAGGGCTCAGTAGTTGTGGCTCACGGGCCCTAGAGCACAGGCTCAGTAGTTGTGGTGCACAGGCTTAGTTGCTCCGCGGCATGTGGGATCTGCCCAGACCAGGGATTGAAGGCAGGTGGATTCTTAACCACTGTGCCACCAGGGAAGTCCACTTCTAGTGCTCTTATCACTTAGGAATTTACAAGAGTTTCCAGAGCCGCCCTGTGTCTAGGTCAGGATCAAAGAGCAAATAATAGAACAAAAGATGTTCCTAGTGCTCTTACCACTTAGTAATTTACAAGGGTTTTAGGAGTTCTGTGCCAGGAATTGGGGCAGATATATATATATATATGTATGTGTGTGTGTGTGTGTGTATATATATATATATACACACACACATATATATGTATGTATATATGTATATATATATATATACACACACACACACATATATATATATATATATATATATATGTATTTTCTGTTATCTCACAACCAACTTCACAGGGTCACTGTTGCAGGGATAGGATGGGACAGAAAAGCCCTCAGCACCGGCTCTGGCCCTGTCTTTTCATCTCTCTAAGCAGGCCTCTCTGTTTGGGGATGGTCCCTGCAGGTGTTCTCCAGGGCAGAACTGGAGCTGGTGGCCAGCCTGTGCCAGCAGCATGACGTGGTGTGTATCACCGACGAGGTCTACCAGTGGCTGGTCTACGACGGGTGCCAGCACGTCAGCATCGGTGAGCCGAGCCGGCCAGGGTGCCCCCATTCCCCTGGACATTTGTGGCAGGGCCTTGAGCCCAGTCTGGGTGTCAGCGCAGGCCTGTTGATTAGGACCGAGGGGTCTAGACCCACACAGGTCAGGTGACCTGGGGCAGTGACTTCACCTCTCTGAGGACAGGGGAACACATGGCACCTGCCTCCCAAGGTTGTCATGAGGGTGAGCTCAAATAAGTCCTGGGAGTAGCTTAGCACATGGTGGAATCTGGAGCGTTGAGAACCTGAGTGCCTGCTGGGGTCCAGCCCCCGCCCCATCTCAGCAGCTTCTTTCTTTGGCCTTGGGCAGCCACCCTCCCTGGCATGTGGGAACGCACCCTGACCATTGGCAGCGCTGGCAAGACCTTTAGCGCCACAGGCTGGAAGGTGAGTCAACGAGGGCGGGGGTGACCCCTCCCTCTACAATCCTTGGTAGGCGAGTCTGGCCTGGAAATCCAGAAAGGGTTTGGTCAGGCCCCGAAGAGCCTCACCCCCTACCTATGTTCCTGGTCCAGGTGGGCTGGGTCCTAGGCCCGGACAGTCTCCTGAAGCACCTGCGCACCATGCACCAGAACTCCATCTTCCACTGTCCCACACAGGCCCAGGTGAAGGGGGGGGGGCAGTACCCACCCCACCGGGGGAGGGAGTGGGGCAAGAAAGGAGTTCGGGCTGGCTCCAAGGTCAGGTCACACCTGACCTGCTTGTCCCTCCGCCCCCCCCAGGCTGCAGTAGCCCAGAGCTTTGAGCGGGAGCAACTGCACTTCGGCCAACCCAGCAGCTACTTTGTGCAGCTCCCACAGGCCATACAGCGCTGCCGTGACCACATGATACAGAGCCTGAAGTCTGTAGGCCTGAGGCCCGTGATCCCCCAGGGCAGCTACTTCCTCATCACAGACATCTCGGAATTCAGTGAGTGGGACTGGCCGGGCTGGGCCAGGTACAGGGCCCTGGAGGCTGCTCAGGGCTCAGCCTGGCCCCTGTCCCCCAGAGAGCAAGATGCCCAACTTGCCCGGAGCTGCAGATGAGCCCTACGACAGACGCTTTGTCAAGTGGATGATCAAGAACAAGGTGGGCTGGGCCTCTGCCAGGGCCACTGGGTACGTTTTACAGGCTGTGCACTGCTAAGGGTGCCTGACCAGGGGGCTGATGCGCCAAAGTCCAGCCAGTCCTCTGCCTTGAGCCGTGGCACAGGGTTGCATCCACTTCAAGGAATGGGAAGCCTGTTTTCAATTTGCTCAAATATGCCTTGTGGGCTGGCAGGAATTCTTGCCCTCTCAGGGCTTCAGTCTTCCCATCTGTACAGTGAGGAGCTGGCCCATTAACTCTGAGGTCCATCCAGCCCAGAGCTACGACTCTAAGACTTATTTCTTTTTTTTTGCTTGTTTGTGGTGTTTTTTTGTTTTTTGTTTTGGCCGTGCCACATGGTTTACAGGATCTTAGTTCCCCGACCAGGGATTGAACCCGCGCCCTCAGCAGTGAAAGCGCAGAGTCCTAACCACTGGACCGTCAGGGAATTCCCTAAGACTTATTTATTCTATGGCTCTGCCCTGACCTGCCGCATGATCTTCCCTGCTCTCAGCCTCCCTCTCCCTTCTGTGCATAAGGAGGGACTTAGAATGATGATTTGGGATGCTTTTCCTCTGACCTGGATGCAGCACTGGGAGGTGCTGCACTGAACTAATTTTCCTTCTCCTGTCTCATCACGGAACATCTCTGACCCCCTGGAGCCCCCCAGAGGCCTGCTGGGCTGTGGGGCCGCTGAGACATGGGCTTCCTCCTCCACAGGGCTTGATGGCCATCCCGGTCTCCATCTTCTGCAGCGTGCCACATCAGAAGCTCTTTGACCACTATATCCGCTTCTGTTTCATGAAGGTAAAGGACAGGCCTGGGGGAGGGAAGACCTCCTCAAGCCTCCCCATGCCTCCTGCGGGTGTGGGGAGAGGGGTAGGACCAATCTGTGTTGGTGCAGGATGAATCCACGCTCCAGGCCATGGACAAGAAGCTACAGAAGTGGAAGGATGAGCTTAGGCCCTGACATCACCCCCTGGGCCCTGCACTGCCTGCTCCCTGACACTCTGCAGGGCTCTGTCTTTGTCCAGGTTTCAGCCATTCCCAGGTTGGGGGTAGATGGTACTGGAGGATCTCTTCTCTGTAACACAGAATAACCTCAGGGAAGAGCCCCCCTTTTGGTCTTGGGATAGTCAGGAGCACTTCCCCATGGTGCATAGCTGTGTTCCTGTTGCAGAGGTGAAGGAGGCCTGACCAGGGCCTCTCCCTGGTCCTCCCTGTGCTGGGCTATATGGTCTTGGGTCCCCTCTGGCCTCCCCAGACTCAGCTGGGACTCAGAGGGCAGAGTTCAATAGTGTACTGACCTTGGGTCTCAGCACTGGCCCCAGCCTTGCACTGGCCCCAGCCTTGCGTTGTCCCCAGCCAGGCCTCAGGCATCCCTCCCTTTCCTTATCTAAGCTTGATTTTGGAAAGTTGCCCTTAGGCTTGACTGTTCAAGCCAGTACTTTTGCCCATAATAAAGTTTTAAGTTATTCAAACTGTTATTGGCTGCTTCTCTCTGCTTCACACCCTGGTGCTGATTGCAGATGGGGGCTTAGTCAGAATGGAAGGCAGCTCCCACCTCCCTGAACCTCAGATCCTAGACTCTCTTTGTACAAATGTGTTTTGAGGCCCAAAGAAGGGCAGGGACTTGGACCTTGTCTGAGGCCACCCAGTTAGTTAATGGTAAAACCAGGCCTAGGGGCTCAGATGGTGTGTGTTACTGTTGTTGTTGGTGGTGGTGGTGGTGTGGTGTGGTGTGTGTGTGTGTGTGTGTGTGTGTGTGTGTGTGTGTGTGTGTGTGTG